AAGGCAACAAAGTCGACGGCCGAAATGCCGATCTAATGCACATATTGGGGGAATCGCTGTCGAATCGGGCGTCCGGATGTGACGCTGACCGGCTCACAGACGTGCTACGAATGCTATCCAGCTTCATCGCCAACCTCTCCAGGCTTCATCAGAACGCCCCCTTTCCCCCAGTACTATCGACACGGCAGCCGCCGATTCTGTCCCAAATGTCACCAACATTTCTCCACCTTAAATCAGCGCCCACGGAGGGTGATCGAGTTGGGTACAACTGCGATTCCGACCAGCTCACATCGCTGGAGACCGCTGGGGAACTGGAGGAGCATGAATTGCAGTCCACCATCGCCGGAGGTGCTCTCTCCTCGCTCATCAACATGACTTTCTCGAAGATGCTCACTCTGGCCGAGGCTAAGACATTAAAAGGTAAGTAGGGATTACTATTCCATCCTTTTCACTTCAATTATTGGACTGATTTACACACTGTCATACGCGCCTAATTTAGGCTTATCAGTGAGCGTCTGGTGGTCAACGGGCGCCTGACCCCGTCTCCTGGTCTTCTTGACTTTGTCCTGACAACGAACACGAGCGTGTGAGAGAAAAGAGGGTGAGTTAGATGCAGCGCAAGCCTACAATCACTTACAACCAACTCACGCGCAAGTCACCACGTTTGTCTTTAGCACGCTGGAGTTCGCAGTGGAGGTCGTCGGATTCGGCGGCCGAACTGTCGGCTAAGGAGCGCAAGCGAAGAGGTAATAAGCGCCACAAACTGTTTCCCATTGCAGCTGAACTCCAGAACAACAGCAGAATACATTGACCCGGCGTGGCTACGCTTCGGTGAAGTAAGGAATGGTTGGGTAATGTATGCTGCACAAAGGGAGTCCTTTTGGCAGTACTGGGCCTTGACCTGTTCCTCCAGGTACTAGGCCCGCAGACAGGGGGACGACGCAGTCACCCAACCTGAGAAGTCAGATCTAGTCTGCCTTGGACACCTTACTCCGCTACCCAAAATCACCCTTTAATAAGCCTGTGTGGCGAGTAAATAAAAGAGAGGGGGATAAAATATTAATTTCTCAATATCCGAATGTACCGTCCCGAGGTAAAGACTGAGCCACATGGAGCTTATCAAAATCGAGACAAAACATTGGACTGTCCGGTAACAATAGAGTTGGTCTACCACCTTCGATGGCGCTATTCTCAGAATTCTGTCCTACAAAACCGGTGGTATTAGTACAGTTTAGTTTTTGGTTCATAAGTTTAATTTCGGTTTTAATGTAGTTAAGTTTTTAGTTTAGTTAGTTCCCCTAACTTTAGCTTACTTTTACTAGTTTACCCTAGTGTATAGTAGTTATTTAAGTATAGTTATCTAACTTTGGCAGTATTTAACTAACTAAACTAAAACTAAACTAAACTAAACTAAAAGTAGCCAAAGGACTAGGGGCTAGGTGGAAGACCGACTCTATTGTTACTGACCACTCAGTGCGCGCTCAAAGCAATAATTTCCCAATAGAGTCCCTGCAAAAGGAAATCAAGCTTTGGTACCACGGTTTGTCAATTTAATATCCGAAAAGGAGTCACTCATTAAGTTTCCTTGGACTATTTGATATTCCTAAAACTTAGAACAGAGGACTAGGTATGCAACTTCAGAGCATAGAGTTTTATTAATCGCCCAAGTGGAAATTAAATCACCAGTATTATGGGCTTCGTGCTTCCCTTAGCAAAAGCTAACCGACCTTAGCGCAACACAGGTTGCTGTACAAGCAACAAAAATACGAAAGAGGATTTCGCGGGTATAAGTCTGTTTTCACTAAATTATCTTCAGACTTGCAAGCCTATATTAATATTGAAATAATTGAAAGGCGCGGGAGAGTATAAAAACCATGCTGTAGCAAGACTAAGGGGGAGAGGGTTGGAGAGAAAAACAAAATTGTACTAAGTATCTTCTAATTAACGACAAGGGGAATGGCGACCACCCGGAAAAGCAGTTATATGCGGGCCGACAACACGGGGGCTTCAGGCCATGGCAGCTGCGGGCCTATGAAAGTTCTTCTGTGCTCTGTCTAAGTGATGATGGATACTTCGAGGGGACCTTATAAATCATCCAGAAAATCGCTCTATCGCCTACGCCATCGTCTGTGTCTATGCATGTTCTATTTTAGTCCTTTTAACCATGCTGTTAGGTTCTCCTTTTATTTTTTTGGACAAACGTCGGCTCCTGTGAACAGTATGTTCTGTCCCACAGGGGCAAGTGAAGGAATGAACAAGAGGTGCTCCATGCTGGAAGTTTGTGCTTGTTTCCTCTGCACAGGATCGGAGTAGTCGGGACCGTTAGGAGGTAATTACCCTAGTCTGATTTAGGTGTCTTTTTAAAAGTGTACTCAGCACATCCGCTTGAAATAGGATCCGTAGGAAAAGCCATTGGTGGCACGCCGCTAACATCGGGACTTTTTTGGTCTGTCGACCATACTCTTATCAAATAAAAATAATATAGAAACAAAAATAAAATAGAATAAAACAGGATGGCATAGAAGTTAAATTATAACAAAATAAACAGTAACAGATGAGAATAAACCAGTGTGAATATAATAGAAATAGCTTTTTATTGTCTCCCCACCAGAAGACAGTTTTCCGCCCCAGTTTTTAAGATCGAAATTGAGCAACCAATAACCCCTCCGATTACCTAGTATCCAGGGGGCGCAAAGACAGACCTAACAATAACGATATCTCTGCAGGTGCCCTTGCCTTAATAAAGCTTTTTTCCGCTCTTTTTTGGCAGATCAAGTCCTTAAAGCGCAGGACAGTGTGGCGCCAGTTATGCAGCTGAGTACGAACAAACTTCGAAAAACACGCACCACCTTCACAACCTCGCAGTTGGCCCAACTGGAGGTATATTTCGGCAGGCAGAAGTACCTCACGCCCGCCGACAGAGACCACATCGCGGGCGAACTCG